GAGAGAAACCTTTATCAATGTCTTTTCTTCAGTAGACCCGATTTTTTAGGGGACCGCGAAGTTCTTGTAGTCGCCTTTATGCAGTATCATTGGTGAAGCAAATCCGTTTTATTCGTATGGCCTGGCTATAGGAAATGCTCTTGGTGCTATGTTTAGGATGACAACTCAGAGGAGAATTTAGGGGACCGCAAAGTTCTTGAAGTCGCCTTTTTTTGCAGTATCATTGGTGGAGTAAATCCGTTTTATTCGTATGGCCTGGCTATAGGGAATGCTCTTGGTGCAATGTTTAGGAATGACAACTCAAAGGAGAAAGATATTGATGTTTGTCTGTGGGCTTGCAATACAGATCTGTAAATTTGATTCCATCCTTTACTTTCGTAGCAGTGTCAAGAAATGTGATCTTAGAGTCAGAGATTTCATAAGTTATTTTTATTGAGGGATAAGCATCGTTGGCATGTTGAATGAACACTATGAGTTTTTGTTCAGTATTATCCCACTTCATATGAAGTTATTGCATTTCAAAACCAAAGTTATAAGCTGGACTAGACATTAAGTCGGTTGGTGTAAGGTGTTGTGAGAGTAAGACTTCCCTACAGGCTTCAATACCATCGTCATGGTTGCTGTAAGTATAGAGAGAGGTAACATCAAGCGAGACAAAGATTGTTTTAATGTGGGAGATGATTCAAAGATTCCAAGTTCTAAAGATAGTGTGTTGTATCTTGTATATATGATGGTAAATTTTCTACATGTGGTCTTGAATGAAAGTCAATAAATTCTGATATGTTTTCTCTGTAGGGTGGTGATTGGCAGAAACAATTGGTCTACCTAGATTATTGACTTTGTGTATTTTGGGCAGAAGATATAAAACGCCCTGGTTTTGATTTTTCAGGTTTTAGATATTTAAATGTGTCTTCATCAATATGACCCTGTTCACACATGATTTTAAAGTTTGTGGTGACCTCTTTGCTGAATTGATGGGTAGGGTCAGAGTCCAGCGCCTTGATTAATATCTAGACGTTTTATATACATATATATATATATATATACACTTTTTCACTTTTTTGGTCTTTTGGAAAATATTGTTTGTGCTGTATTTAGACCCCACTAACAAGAAATTTGTTTTACATGCACACGTATAAAAATTGCGGTTTTTATCCAACGCATAGGTTTGAACGTTGTTTTCAATTTAGACTTGTTTATATTTTTTCGTTTGGGCTTGTATTATATTTGCCTTCGGGTTTATATGATCCGTTCATCCTATTTTGACTCCTCAAAACTAAAGAGTCTATCCTAAATTGAGGTAAATTGTATGGCTTTCCAAATACCGTTTCGATTCCTAACATCACTGAAGAGACATTAATTGTCGATATCCGGATATGGTGTACAAAAACCTTTGCACCTTTTGTTTGCGGTATACCATCTTTTACGCAAGTTTATTGTTTTTTGTTTAGTATTTAATTTATAATTAAGATCCATTTATTACATCGGTGATCCGTTTTTTTGGCAATCACCAATGGCAGTTAGCAGGGTTTAAGAACATTTGTTGTTAGACCTGTTAGTCAAATGCGTTTTGTTAAAATATACTTTTTCACTTTTTTGGTCTTTGGGAAAATGTTGTTTGTGCTGTATTTAGACCCCTCTTACAAGAAATTTGTTTTGCATGCACACGTATAAAAATTGCGGTTTTTATCCAACGCAATCATAGGTTTGAACGTTGTTTTCAATTTAGACTTGTTTATATTTTTTCGTTTGGGCTTGTATTATATTTGCCTTCGGGTTTATATGATCCGTTCATCCTATTTTGACTCCTCAAAATTCAAGAATCTATCCTAAATTGAGGTAAATTGTATGGCTTTCCAAACACCGTTTCGATTCCTAACATCACTAAAGAGACATTAATTGTCAAAATCCGGATATGGTTTACAAAAACCTTTGCCCCTTTTGTTTGCGGTATACCATCTTTCGCACTTTACGAATCATACATATCATATGTGTTATTCTTATTTTACCTTTATTATGAACGCTCAAAGCCAAATATTTATAAGCCAAGAATGTATGCGTATCAAACCATGAAAAGCGCTATATATGACCAAAATGAATATAGAATAATATTCAAATCTATCTATATATACTTTGCCGGTGGAGTAGGAATTTCCTTTTCCTAGTAATTTATAGTTAGATAAAAATAATTCCGGATTCAATAAAGTCGGTGGTGTCTGCTTTGTTTCTCATCATCAATTTGCGTTCACTTTATAAAACAATGTTATATAACGTAACTAACTAAAATAATTTAAAAATATTTTGTTTTATTTTAAATATTCTGAGTATCTTTAAAATCTCTGAACTTATATTGTTTTCCTCCATTTCAAAAACAATGCACCTTCAATTTTGAATTGAACATTGCAAGAAAAGACAGCTACTGTATATTTTTACTAGCTTTGCTAGCAGGAGCTAGTTACCTTTCCAGATCACCTGAGATCACCCCCGGTTTTTGGAGGGGTTTGTGTTTTTCATTTTTTTTCTATGTTTCGTTTTGTAATTTGTTGTTGTTTCTTTTGGTCCTGCGTTGTCAGTTTTTGTTTTCTACTTTTGAGTTTAAATGTCCCTTGGGTATCTTTTCCCTCCCTTTTTTTACTAAAATATTATGGTTTAACACGTGCATAGATACACCACTTAATTTTAAAAATCAATGACGCCAGGGTTACCTTTATCCAAAACAAAAACAAAAAAACTATTCAATGCTGGTTTTGATAAAGATCCTTTAGAACCTTTTTATCAATAAATAATGAACAGACGAAACCAAAGCACCTCACATAAACGAATAAGGCAAATAAATATAAATACAATTTGTTTATAAAGAAGTGAAACTTTTTTAACCAAACGAATTTCCACAAAACCGGTACTGATTCAAAATACTGTGGAAGGAAGAGCAAGAAAAGTTAAATATTTAAGAATTTAATTCACAAATGATAAAGTATTGTGACTCTTGCTCAGTTTTGACTTTAATTTCTCTATTACAGTTCAAAATTTCACAGAACATCATGATGTGATTGGAAGATTTTACCATGTAGAAAATCAAAAGGTAGGATGTAAAGAAATATGTACACTTTTTAAGTACTCTACAAATACGCAAGAACAGTTAAAGCAGCCTATTGATTTTGGGGTCAATGATTTATTTAAATGGTCAAGTTGAAGATCAAAATCACAAATTATCAAAATATAATTCTTTTTTGGTTGATTTTACGATGATCAGTTTGGTTTCCTTTAATGGTTGATAAACGAAGTTTGTATAGATGACATATCCAGGGAAGGAACATAATCCAATTGATTATAACAATATATAAGTCAGAAGGTCAAGGGTTAATTTCATTCTACTGGGTAAAGGTTTGATAGGTACTTATTTGATTTTAACAAAACGTATACTGGTGATTGAAAGTAGAAAATGTCTTGAATATTTATTCATATTTTACGAATTTATTATACTGGGCATGTGTTTTTCGAACTTGTGGGATATACAGGTCAATGGGACCTCCTGGCTTAAATAATCAATGACAGAGAAAGAGTTTCTTTATATCAACCCTTTGCAGCATGAAATTATATGACAGCTATATACAGGTATGCTAGGGGCCGTCTTAAACTTGCAGTGAGGTGAGAGTTTTTTATCCGTGTTAAAGGCCTCACTGTGACTTTGAGATGAAGAACATGCTGTATTATTACTTTTTTTTTTTTTGCTGTGCATGTTATGATTTTGTGTCATGGAATGATACTCCATATCTTTTCTTTTCTATTGTATAAGAATTGGCATATGCATTCTGCTAAAATATATATATTTTTTTAATTTTAGTACTATTAGTTGACATTGGCCCTCTGGACAAACAGAGAAGCCAGGGTCAGAAACCCCGTGCCCAGTTTTTCAAAGAGGGATTAAATGTCTTAAAAACAACCTCTATTTTTCTTTTTCAGGGACTTTTTACTCTATTTTGAAAGGTTGATTAAAACTCAGGAAATGAAACTTTTTTTTTTACTTCTTTCCAAGTTTTTTAACTGTGAGGGAAATCTCTTCAAAAGAAACATCTGTTTTATTTTTTTGCAATGTTTAAATACCACATGTAAAGCAGAATTTGCTTATCCGTCCGGACCACCTGAGATCATCCCCAGTTGTTGATGGGGTTCATGTTACGCAGTCTTTAGTTTTCTTTGTTATGTTTTGTGTACTGTTTGTCTTTTCAACGGTTTTTGTTTTTGCCATGGCATTATCAGTTTGTTTTTGACTAATGAGTTTGTATATTCCTTTGGTATCTTTCACCTCTCTCTTATAAGTATTATGTCCTATTATTTCCATACCTTGCAAGTAAGCTATGGTCAGCGGAACTCCTGCCTTGTATGTTTCGAGCTTGGTTCCATTTTTAATTGTCTAGGTTTGTTTGTTTTCCTGCTTAAGGTCGGTGGTTCTCTCCAGGCATTCCGACTTCCTTAACCTGACCGCCACGAAATAGCTAATAGTGCTCAAAGTAACGTTAAGCACCAATCAATCAATTGATCAATTGTTTATTTCGAATGTTTAGCCCAACACCTATATTGAGATTCTAGAGAGAGTATTGGTAACAGTGTTGGTTTCCAGATACATACCTGACTTTATATACTCCCTGCACATGTCGCCTATTTTGCTTCCTTATACTAGTCGTATTGATTTTTTATGATAGTTCGAGTATCCGATTATGAACATTTTAAAACAGTTTTACAGGAGATAAATTATCAATTCTAGTACAATTTTTTGAGAGCATCCAATCATACTTACTTGTAATTTGAACAATTTAAATAATAATGTTTTTCCTCAATCAATTTACAGTTCGGGAGCCGTTGTTCCAGCTTTTCATTTGTTTTCAGTGGGGCAAAAACAAATCGCATATTTTATGTTTTATCAAGTTTTTAATTCATTTCTGAATAACTATTAGCTATGATTATACTACAGAACTATAATAAGGTGGTCTTTTTTTCAGTTATCTGAAATTCAAAAGCCCGTTAAATGCTACATCTGTAATGACATGATACAAGAAAACAGGGTAAGTTTTTAAGATGACATTTAAATATTATACTTTTATTTCCCTTGTGCTAAGGAGTTGTTACTTTTCTAGAGTAACAAAATCTCTATTTCTCAATAACACAAACCACATAGATGTTTTAGTTCACTACTACTTTGATTTCCGTAAAATAGATTATTCAGATACATGCAAATTATCGCATACACTTGATTTCATCTTTACGTGGCATAAATAGTATGAATTAACGTTCTCTTAGTTTCAGCGATACATTCAATACAAAAATACGAAGATGTGGTATGATTGCCAATGAGACAATTCTCCACAAGAGTCCAAATGACACAGAAATTAACAACTATAGGTCACCGTACGACCTTCTTCAATGAACAAAGCCCTAACCGCATAGTCAGCTATAAAAGGCCCTGAAATGAAAAATGTAAAACAATTCAAACGAGAAAACTAACGACCTAATTTATGTACAAAATAATGAACGAAAAGCAAATATGTTACACAGCAACAAACAACAACCACTGAATTACAAGCTTCTGACTTAGGACAGGCACATACAGATTGTAACGGGGTTAAACTCGTTTGAAGGCGCCAACCCTCCTCCTAACCTAGGACAGTGGTGTAACATAAAATCAAACTATAAAAATCAGTCGAAAAGGCTTAACTCATCAGATGGATACAAATAGAAATACATCTAACAAAAAACAAAAACAGAGTGGACGTGGAGTGGAAATTATACATCCCCAATGCAAAAAGACACTTAGTTCAGATTTGAGAGTACTCGCAGTTATGGACAGCTAGTTTAAAGCCAATAATAAATAGTAAATGAAAAAATCATGCATCTTAGACTAAAATATCAATCAGTGCACATCCAACATCCAATGGATTTAGTTTAAAGACGTCATAAACAGTCAGTGAAAAACATGACCATCTTCAACGCTAAGATACAGGTATTGACAGATTGTAGAGCCATGAATGTGCATATGTATATAAAAATATCATTTAGTTTGATTTTGATTTACTGATAACAAAATCAATATAAATACCAATAAAAACAATATTCAAATAACAGTGTTGAATGGGTGAACTTTCAGAATAAATTTATTTATAGGATCGATAAGTTTACCCGGACTGTTTCTGATTTCCGGGCTCGGTAAACAACATCTCCGTAAAGATGAGGATGGTCTATCCCGTTTGAAATAGGTTTTCTACAGATACAACCAAACTTCAAAACCAAATCTTTATATCTATGGAAGAATTTAGTAAAAGTTAAAAGTAATTTGTGGTAACGAAATCCCTGACTTAATATAATTTACAAGTAATACACTATTGTATGAAACGTAACCTTTAGATGATATCACATTGCATTAGCTTTAATTCTCAGTTATAGGTACAATTGTATGGGCCTTGAATTTATATCTAGTTCGGTTTCAATATTTTTGTTGTCATCTACAATTATTAAATCTACTTATAATTCATCAGCAAGTATGGGGGTGCAAGGTGGCAAGAGTATAGATTGTTTCGCTATGCTGCACATTAAAATGGAAAAAAAGATCAGCCGCCAGTTACAATTTGAAATTTTATAGGCTAACGAGCTAGATGGGCTTCACATTTGGTAGATCACTTGAATTTTACGATATTTACATGCAAATAATTTTATTTATCGCATGATTCTAGTCATTATTCCTTCAAAATACATTTCTTTACAATTGGTTTTCCTACCAACTGTATTTTTTTAATTATTTTTATCAATTTACATAATTTATACCTCTCAATAACAATTAGGTAAATGTATTTACAACTTTTAACACTTTTCGCTGTGAATCTACATATTTATACGGTAAAACTTTAAATGTTTAACATGTTTAATGATGTAATTCTAAAGGCAACTGATGAATGTCAGATTTAGACTTGCCTTTAGGAAGATGTAGAGATAAATTCTGAACTTTTTATTTTTTCAGTTAATGCTAGGCATAAGCATGTCCTATCATTCTAACTGCTTCAGATGTTGTACATGCAACAAATGTCTAGAAGGTAAATCATTTATGCTGATTGAAGACGATGTATATTGTATCGACGATTTTTATAGGTAAGTATCCAATAATTTGATTGTAGATTTATAATTTTAACATTACAATTAAATAAGATTTCTGATTAGTCAAAATTACGAACTTTTGACGGTGACAGCCTTAAGATTCAATTAACATTCTCACAAACCCATCTACATGAAATAAGTATAGTAATATCATCCGTGATATCTTAAATTTCCTCAACCCTGTGACTATCGCGGAAGTCGTGTGCATTTGATGGAAAATTTATTGTCACTGGACTGGTTGTCGATTAAAAACATATTTTATTTCATTTATCTGATAAATGTAACAGTTCTAGGTAGGTGATTTACAAATATTTTCTTTTCTTTTTATTGATAAAACGATTGTTGCCATATTAGTTGATGAACATCCAGATTTTGGTGAACATACAGAGTTTGTAGGAGGTGATTTCCTGAGGGCTAGTTAGAAGATCATAATTGCATTCCTAACTTTTCGTTTTGTAGTACAAAACCTTATATTATAATCGTTGGTTAATATATTAATGATTATAGTTCGTTTGAGTCCAATGAATCCTTAGACATAAACTATACGTTTGAAAGGAATCAAAATTCGAAATCTGATTTTTTGACAAGCGAAAGAATATTGAAATATTGCCTATTAAACAAATATTGAAAACTTATAAACCAGTAATTTGTATGTAAAGGAGTAAATGAATCGACCAAGGCGCCAGCTGGTCAGGTGTTTAACTCACAGTTTTATACAATATGGGTTAACTGTGAGGAAAAGGAGTTCATCTGAGTCACAAGTATTTTAATAATGCCACTGTATGTGCCAATTGGATGTGGTCATAATATTAACAGCCATATCCGTCAGATAAGGGCTATTTGATAACATAGAAAACTAAAGACTGAGCAACACGAATCTCATTAAAAATCAGGTGTGATCTTATGTGCTCCAGAAGAATAAGCAGATCCTGTTCCACATGTTGCACCCGCCGTGTTGATCGACTTATGAGTTTGAATACCTCTTTGGTATCTTTCGCCTCTCTTTTTATGTGTACGTCACCTTCCACGCTACTGTTTGTAATTAGTCAATTATATTTTCTGTAAAGAAAGGTTTTAAGGTGGACAATTCAAATTGATACGGTTTATCTAGCAACAAACCTTTCATTATTTAATGTCATCTTATCCCTTTATGCGTTTTATTATTATAATTGCATGATTAAAGCTTTCATTGCCAATTTTACAGGTATCTTAGAACATTCTCACCCATTCTCGTCCAATGGAAAATCAGTATTTTCCCTTCTATTTTTCATAGTACATGGCTTTCCATGCACTATAAAATGCTACACATGAGTGACTTTTCATTGTAGATTAATCATGAAAGTGAACTCTTAAAAATTGCACTTAAGAAGTGTACAACCGGCCAAGACAATGTCCAAGGGAAAAGCAAAAGAAAACTACAAAAGCGTTTAAGTTTTGATTTTATTTGTAATCATTGAATGATTTACATCCCTTTTACTAAACATGTTAACACTTAAACTGAACTAATATCAAAGTTTGATTATTACAATGAGAGGCTAATTTTGTTATGTCATTTAAAACCCTCGTCTACGCCTCGTGCTTTCAATATTCATAAAACATGACCAAGTATTATCTAATCTATAAAACTAACATTGATCTTATTCTCTGGTTTCATTAGTAAACAGTAATTTTGCACGATTAGATCATTTTCTCAATTGTAAAAGGTTTTTGGCAATAATTTTCGGTCAGTCACACCTATCATAGTGTTCTTTTCAATCAAGCGCATTTGATAAGTCCTGTGTATCCGAAACGCTCATATGCTTTACAAAATTATGAGCCTGATATCTTTTATTGGTTTAGCTCATCCTGACCTTATTTTGATGATTCATTGTTGATGGGGCACAATTTAACGAGGTTTTTCTATATATAAACCCTGCAATTTTTAGTTTCATTGGGTGTCAGACCACCAATTCAAAATCCCTTTCTATTCAACCAAATTTTCCAACTTTCACAGCTTTCTAAATGTTTTACCTTAAGTTTAATTTCATAGAAACAAGGTATAACCTGAATTGTACATGTATCACCTTTCTAAACGCCAATTTTCAACCAATGTTTTGTAGTCTTGTAGCAAATTACTAACCTCCAGAAGACAAGTACTGCTAAAAATAACCCCTGGTTTTCTAAAAATCTTTAAAAAAAGTATACAATGGAGCACATTAATCCTCAATTTTTAATGCAAACTCTTGGGCATGCAATTTGTGACTCAAAATGGTCTACAGATATTTCTCTTTCAACAAAAGTTTCATTTCTGCAAATTTGTTGATTAATTTAAGTAAACAATAACATCAAAAGCACTATTTTTGTTAGGGAAGGGCTACTTTTACATACGTTCTAAATTGGAGTGGATGAATTGGTGGTCTGACACCGTTAGTGTACAAAAAGAACATAAAAGAACATGCAAGAAATAAAACTTTTAATAACGGTATTAATAACAGATTATTAAAACACAAGATAAGCTCAAACAACAATAATGAATAATAACGAATGAAGGAACTGACACAGTTGTTAAGAGTTTGTTCAATTTTACCTATCGTTATGCAATCTAGTCGTCAACATTGATGTATGACAGCTCTTGCTTATTGGTTTGAACAATATTACAGTAGAATATTCAAATGTTCAGTGAATTTTATGAACAAATAAGGTAATCGTTGATATCAATGCAAGCTTCGTATATACCAATAAACTAATCATAATGCATTCTCTAGGGATTTTCCTTCGTGCTTTTAGAATAGTTTAATATCGTAGCTGTTATTCATCTGTTTGAAACGATCTATCACAAGGGAATCTTATACATTTAAAACATTATATTCTATTTTGTAGAAATTTTCCTTTAAAATCTGTATTCTGTGGACAATGTTCTAAGCTGCTACAGGTAACTTATAAAAGACGAAATTGCCATGGTCAATTTAATTTCATTGCTATTTAACACTCATCGTTTTCGTTGCAAATATATATTAACAAGGGAATATCACCGTTCTTTTATTCGTACCCCTTTGATAATTGTATGTATTTTTTGTCTATTTATTTATTTCAAAAATGTTTCTGAATTTATGCAGTTTCTTTTATTATCTTTTTGTGATTTTACGTATACTCTAAATGACCAGAGCAAACTGGAAATGAGATTTACGTTCATATTACATGAATTTGACCACCCTTGAACTTCCAAAAAAAAAGCAGTAACAAATGTCAAGCTTTCAAAAATAAATATTTTACTACTACTATATCTGCAGCGTTATTATGGGCTATTAGTCCCTATGGATACCGTCCAGACAGTGGCCGAGCTTCAGACATTATGCATAATTGCATAGTTTATAAAGCTTAAAAAACGAATGGAAGAGAAGATGCTCGAAAAGTGTTTCCTATCCTGATGTTTTCTTCAAATGCAATATATATCTACTGATTAAGTTGCAATAATACAAATATTTAAAAGTGTAACGCTATTGGTGGACTTTGATGATTAATAAATTCAATTTTGATGGATAAGATAAATTCATTAATTAATCCTAGTTAGCAACAACTGCATCTCTCACTGATCCTAGAAACCTGTGACCCTGAAAAACTCACGTTTAAGACTGAAAAAATCGTATAATATACAAGATTTATTTGATAATAAGCTATAGAAATAACATGAATAATGCTTTAATATGCCATTTAGCCGTTTGGGGAATTTGTATTATTTTGTGCTTAAAAAAATAAATGCAATTAACAGTAACTCATAAGCGTAGGCAGGTAATTTGCTGCCTTTTCTCGATGTAACAGCAGTAACTGTTTATCATTCACAATTTATTATAAAGAATATAATATTGCATTGTCTTTCATTTATTTACTACGTTGTATACTGCATGATGTTGTCTATTAGATGAAAATTTACTTTTGTCATAGTATAGGTCTGACAGTTTGCTTTGGTATACCTTGATAATGGTTTTTTTTCATATCAACAGAGAAGGGACAGTCAAGCTGTAAAAAGCATCAAATCACTGAAAAGGGATAACATTGGTGTTATAAATGATATTAGACCAACGGTAATTGTAATTAAAATAATGATACTTTTTTCAACTTTCGGAATAAAAACTTTGTGGGTTTTACCCTTTTGAAAATAAATGATTAAATATATCAACATGAGCAAAGTCTCTAAAAAAATCTGCGGTCATTTGTTTTCTTTATACCATGGAGAAGTGAAAGGTTAATCAAAGCAAATACACATACCAAATTCCTCATGAAACCTTATATTTAAACAGAGATAAAAATGTATTCAAGCAATGAACAGTTATTCTGACACCACAGAATACTACTCAAGGTTAGCCGCATCGGTGGTGTCTTGGTAGCGTGTTCGACCTGAGTGAGGGAGGTTGTGTGTTCGGCCATGGCAAGGTCAAATCAAAGACTTTATGATTGACAATAGCTACTTCTCCGTTTTGCACGCGGAAATAAGGATTAAGAGCTAAGACTGGTCGGCTCGGAGTCATAATACTATGTAAGGGTAGGCAGACATGTCTTCCTGTAGACTTTTACCTTGTGAACTAGCAGATTAAAAATCCGGCTCAGCGCGTTAATTTTAGTGCAAGGCATGGTTAATCCTCATAATGGATTCACATGTTTTGGTCTGGACATGCATTTGGAAAACCTGGCATTGCGAAATGCTTAAAAATTAATATCTGCTTGAAATGCATCCAATTTATTCTGTGGACTTTTGTAACAGAATGATTTGTTCACCAACTTGAAGGGTTAATTTATTGAAGGGAATAACCGACAGAAAGACTATTTTGAACTGACTGATTAATGAATGGTATTTTGAATATCTGTTGGTGAATGTTAGATAGAACGTTTGTAACTTGTCTTCTTTTTTTACATTCTGGCTGATTTTTACGTTGATTTACATTATGAACCGGAGGCTGACTATGTGTAGCTTAACATTCGAATTGGTCAACTTAAACATCTTTGGATCACAAAAGAGACCAATTAAAACTAAAAATGCCATCCCTTGAAATGCACACATTCAGGCTTATGAACCCTTTGTTATCGTGTTCAGTTTATGTTTTAGTCGAGAACAGATAAAAGAAGCGCCAATTCTAGATGTTCAGCTTCTGCTAATGGAAAACCATTAAATCCCATACCCTCAAACAGTCCTATTAAACGTAAGTTATTATCTATATTATAACATATCATGTAGAATTTTATAACTTGACGTAAATGTAGCAGTAAACGTCGAAATCCTCTAAATCATGACAAGAGCACCTAAAAAACAATTCGTGATGCATAATAATTTTCTGAGGAAAAAAATACAAAATACAATATATTGTCATACAAATAAACTGATCGTTCATGAAAAATACACATTTATCTCAGTCCATTGACACAAAACGTTGGCACATTTTATGAACCAATATCTTTTTCCTTTATGTGTTGAAATGATTAAATCAGTCAAATTCTAAAAAAAAAAACATAAAGAACTGCAGTTAATACTCTGTCACTCAATCATCACATCGGTGATATTTCTATCAGTTATTATCGGTACAATTATGAACAATTAAAATATGAAAATTGTGTTTTTTCTCGTCAGTTAAACCTCTCACAAACTTTTAAATAAAGAGAGAAAATTATTCAAACAACTAGAAACTGTTGTGTCAGGTATATATTCAAGATTATTTCTTTTTTTAATATGTTTAAAGACCATGCACAAAGTTTGTACTATAGAATAAACAAAAGGTCACAGAAATAAAATCAAGTACATATGCATATATTGCATATATAATGTTCAGCTTAAATATTTTTCATTTGAAAAAACAAATATGTTATTTTACTTGCCTGATGAAAAGAACACAGCACATTATATTAAATTTTTACATTGTTTAATTTAAACAGATAGGTTAAATAATTAACATAACAAAAAGCAAAAAAGTCCACAAGTTATTCAGCAATAAAGTAATAAACAGTTATCACGGTTACTAAAAGCAGAAATACAGTGCTTAACTTTCTCATATGAAATCATGCGTTCCAACACTTTATATGAATGCTGTACTTCATGAAGGTATTTTAACAGCAAAAGTTCTCTATATTTGTAATAAAGTGTAGGATAATCAATGATTTTTTTCTACAATTCAAATCAGTAGGAACTTATTCACATTTTTTTAATTATCATTTGTTAATTTGTTAATAAAATGAGATGAGACATTAAAGTTAATCAGGAGCGACATCAAAAATTATTCTAAAATTGACAAACGTCTTAAACGCCCGATTTGATCAAACTATAAGTAAATCAATGGACGATCTAATATAAAATCACATCGACATTTAGTCCCATTTAAGATACATCTTCTTTTTTTTTTTAATTAATCAATCTTAATGCACCTTTGCTGTTAACAATTGACTTAATCTACAGCTTCAATTAAGTATCCCTGTAACAAAAGTTATTGAATATCTAGGGAAAGTATTCAATAATTAATAAAGTTAGGTATATTAATACATTGGACAGTTTTACATAATAAAATGTTTACCGGAATACGGTTCGTTTCTTCACCTATATTGTATATGATTTTATCAAAGCTTCACTGAACCGCAAAAATGATGATGATTTTTGGAGCATGACTCTTCATCAGTTGAATTTTGTCAACAATAGCTAATTTTGAACTTTTTTGGTTTTGTTTACACGACTTAATTGTAAGGAGTCTTAGTTGAAAAGGTAATAATGTTTTTGTTTTCACACATTATGTGTGCTTCTTTATTTTTTAATTAGTAAATGCTAATTTCTATGACCAAGGATCGCAAATACACGTGGTCATCAAATTATACATGTATGCAGTAGCGTTGCATCATGTTGTGTAATCTGCTTGATCTCCTGCTCATAATAATTTTCCATCGTGAATCGGGTACACATATTTAATACAATACTAATTCAGTGTAGCTGTAATAAATTGTAAAAGAGACCACAATAAAATTGCGAATTTCAGTTAATGCACACGCAACTGACTGGACACATGTGCAGTCGTGTATGAACGAAGTCGCATATTTACATGTATCCAAAAACTATCACTTCATTACACTAAAGGAATTCAAAATATTCCCATGTTTTAAGTATTATTCTCTTGTTGTTTTTTTTTTTTGTTTTTTGCTTCTGATTTTATTTATGTTAATTATGTCCCAGATTTCATTTTTGAAGATTTTAAAGATGTCAATGACCTTCTCCTTCTTGTTAGACATATACTATGCTTTATAGATGGAAAAGAAAATTTTAGTTAATAGATATTTCATATCAAAACAAGCTTCATCTTCAATTTTATAGCCTGTTACTAAACTTTCAAGACTTAGTACAGGCTTATCAATTCTTAAAAATGCTAATAGTTCGCTAATTGTATGCCAATAATTAACATTATATGAACAGGGAAATAAATGTGTTTATAATCATCATGTTGCTTACAACGGAAGCACGACCTACTTGGTACTATTTTCCATTTATAAAGTAATTCATTACAGGCTAATATTTAATGTATTATTTTCCATTTAAACATTTTAGATTTGTTGTTTTCAAGGTAGTTAAAAATAAAGTTAAATGTTGACTTAAATTTTGTAGCCATTTTTATAGTTGGAAACAGAATACCATCTAGAAGCTTTGAAATGTTGTCTGGTGATAGACCTGGTACCACAAGCTCACAGAGAATGATCGGAAATGTAGATAGCAACTGATCACATCTATAACCAATTTGTTTCAAACTGTTAACGGGAATGGCTATCATTTTAAAACTTCTTACTAGGCATAAGTGTAAACATCGATATATAAATATAATAGTTATCATGAAATTCATGTGTGCGAAAGAACGATTAGAAGGACAAATTGTTAATTTGTGACTATGTATGAATGATTATACAAAGATCAAAAAATAAATTGTAACCCCGTCACATTTTCATCTGCCTGTCACAAGTCTAAAACACAATAAGTCAAAAGCCTGCAAAACAATTCAACTTACGCAATAAACCCTAGTAATTATGACAATACCTTCTAATATTTGTGACCAAATTATGAAATCACTAATAGGAATCAATACCTACTAATTCTGTGGATATTTACTGGTGTTCAAAAAAAATTTCTTATATGTGCTACTAGAGATATTTTTTATTGTTGCCATATGACGAAACACGGGTCTGTCATAAACCGTCATGAATTTTCCGTCTTTTAGCATATAGCTCTTGAGTATGAAAACTGTACGATAATCTTTTCTAAAAGCAAATTCAAGTAACCCGTTTTCGTTTGTACTATTTCTATGTGAGTTCAATACAAGAGTTTTATTTTGTTTTAGTACAGGAGAAAACTACCGCCATTATCAGAATCCAAGTCACCTAAGTCACAGTTGCAAGAATTCCCAGAACAGAATAAAAATAGAGGTTTGAATAATATTTAGTGTTTTTGTAAATAATATATGTAATAGAATTAGAATTTTTCGAAATACTAAAGATTTTCTACCCAAGGAATAGGGCAGTTGTAGTTGGCAAAACCTTTCGGAATTTCGGGTCCTCAATGCTTTACATCTCTGTATTGTATTTGGCCTTTTATAAACTTTTTTATTCGAGCGTCACTAATGGGTCGTTTGTATAGAATACGCGCATCTGGCGTACACAAGTTTAATCTTGGTATCTATGATGAGTTAATTATATTGGAATCTGTTTCGAATTAAGTTATCTTGATCTTCAGTTTCTTTTTTGTCTACTTTATATGACACGCATGAACAATGAAATGTAAACAGCTGCTTGATCTCAAAGAACAATCAATAATTGAATGACTATGTGAAATAAAGCATGACTTCAAGGCAGTGAGACACCATAAAACCGTTCAACAAGTTATAAAACATATTGAAGGAAAAATTATACATATAATGCGACGAAAAATCCAATAATCTACAAAATAAAAGATGTTCCAAACACCTTGTGATCTATGGAGTTGGGGTGCTGGTTTAGGATTTGACAACGATTTATTAAAAAAAAGTTGGGTTAAATTAATTAGGGGACGGAAATAAACTTAAAGATCTCTAAAGACATTTACATACATGCTGTTTTTGTTACTCCTTTGAGGGAGCACCGTAAAGAAAGAGATTAACAGCAAATGTATTATTATTAATGTGATTAGTGTGAATCTTGAAAATTCTTGTAAATAACGATTAACAGAATAGATTATGTCAAAAACAGTGAACACTTTAAGTGTCAAGTAACAGATAACAGGAATCCCATTTTCATATAAAACAGTTAACACCATTGCCAATTTTAACAGAACAGATAACAGACAGTTAACAGTTTATATATATTTAAAAAAACAGTTAACAACACCTTGAAATCTTGAAATATCCCAAAACAGGTCAACAGAAAAAGGTATTGCCCCCCTCATAAAAAGTTGAAATAAATAACGATGGATCAATACTCTCTATCTTAGACGGATTATTTTATATGATCAATAAGTGTAGAGCTTGACATATAAATACATTTGCCTATTGCTGAGAAATTTATGAATACTGTTTGGGGTATCATTAAGTTGGTTTTAGTGTCGTTTGGATGCTGATGAAGTAAAACATTCCTCGTTTCGTTTAATTCATATCTAATTATAAGTACAATCAATATCAAAGTTAACTTCCGGATGACATCAACAGATTTTCTGCATACCTTTGCCACCAAATAGGCTTAAAAGCAAAGATGATGAGTGTAAAGAAAATCTTTAAAAAGCCAAATGTGCAACGTTTAACGCGATAAAATCGGATACAAGTATACGTATCATTACTATAACACTCACATTCCATTGTAAAACATGAGTATGTCCGTGAAATTGCAAAGGTTTTACCTGAAACGAGATGATAAAATAAATCGAATAAGAGGTTATAGTACATGTAGTTAACCTATGGATGTTCAAATTTCCTAATATCATTCAGATATCAATATACAAAACATTAAAGAACATCACATTAACTTCAACTTGAGCGAGACCGGGTACGTCGACAGGATAAGCGTCTCCTGGTATGGATGCATCATCCTCCTTGCAAATCCTCACTCAGTCAAAATGTCGCATTATAGGGAATAGAACACACGCGTTAACATGAGTTAAGGAGTAAGATTGGTAAGGGCCCTTGTTTGTCCCGAATATTTACTTTATTGTTTCAAGATAAAACGAATCTTAAGCTGAGGAATTGACATGACAGAAAGTGAAATAGAACTATTCTTGTCAAGCTTTTCTTATTAAGACATGTTGACCAAAAATAGGACAAGAATCTAGTTTTTTGTAAAAAGTTGACAAAAGTGTCCAGATTCAGGCCTAGCAAACACAGAGCATAGGCTCCATCAATTTTTTAAACGATTCAAGTCAGATATGTAATTTGATAAAACGAGCATAATGTCAGACGATCTTTTATGTCTTCGTATGCGTTGTATATGTTTCCAGTCCTATCATCCCATGGAAATTGATATTTTTTCTTTGAACTTCGAGTCAAAATAGGTTATATTTGTGACGTCACGAAATGGGAAGGTTTAAATTTACAGGACAGCAAAAACGAAACTGGTATTTTCCATACATTTTACCTGTTACTTTAATATATAACTCAACATATTGTTTAAAAATATTATTTAAAATGTAATGTTATGTTAACTTACGCTATTTGTAAACTTTGGAAAAAAAGTGGAGGAAATTTCATAAGAAAATATATCTATAAATGAAAAAAAGTTGAAAAAAAGTTCTACAAAACTACTCTCTGGCATAATATATGTGTACGTTATAAAGATAAAGGCAGAAAAATTAAAAAAAAAAAAAAAACTAATTTGATTCTTTAATGTTCAATCAGTCTTTATTTTGAAAATTCAGCTAGAAATATTCCATTATTTATTAGACGACTTTTATCGAGACCCCGCAAATATATTGATAGTTTGTTAAGCCACAGACAGTCACACATCGCAACAGGTAACCTATTCGCAATGGTGATCTTTGAATGATCGTTTAACTAGTATAAAACAAGGAGATGTGGAATAGGGAGCGTTATTTTACCACAGAATGACCGAAATACACATAGCATGCTTCGGTTTCAAAAAGTGGCAAATTGACAATTAACGAATTGAGAATTTTGAAATTACACAGTTACAAGTTACAAATTGACAATTTACGAATTAAGAATTTTGAAATAACACAGTTACATTACAATTTACAAATTGACAATTTACGAATTAAGAATTTTGACCTCGTTTGCTTTCCATAGAGTTGTACCATTTCTTCGCTAACTGCATAGTTAAATTCATTGACATATCATTAGTTGTTTTCTTAAGCTGACCTTATCAACAACTAATAAATTGTTAGCGCCTCTGACACTGCCGACGCCGGAGCACAAAAACGGCAGGCGTACATTGGCGTAAGTCTCGCTTTGTACTACCTGTGCACTTATCGAACAATATTCTGTAGTGTATTTTCTAACATTTGTTTTTTTTTTTTGTTAGATGTACATGATGTAACAGTAGAAAAACTTGCATTACGTTTTTGTTTCTTTTTTAAGTGTCTTAAATTACAGTATCGTCGAGGCAAGACAACAATACAGCCGAAAAACAAATGGGGACGTAATTAAACATATTAAACCTGAAAAAGTTTAAGAACTGGGTTGCTTTAAATCCAACACGATAGTACTAACAGTAAAAGTTGTTGCCAATCTTAAACAGCATGGGAAGATTTTGGTATCATTTCGATTCAAACTCTCATTTTCAATCAAAATACCTCTTCAATCCTTTTTTAACATCTGAACTCTCGATTGATTACATACACCAATAATCCTGACGATATGAAAGCCTACAGGTACGTTTAGGACAGGCGCTTATAACTTTCACCATTCCGTAAAATTGCTTGTTAAAGTGCTTGCAGTACTATGACAATACATCAGTATACTATCAGCTCATTGGTCGTGGATACTGTCGGTGTTATCATTAAGACTTCTTATTGGATCAAAGTTGAGTTGATTTATATACGTAAGAGTTCTTTTGTTAATAATGGCTCAAGATTGCTTGCTCATTCGTATTTAATCCAAATATTAAAGGCACTTGATATTCCAGAAACAAAATGTAAGACATATCCCCAAAGCACAAAACTAAAAATTTGAATGATAACTTTACATGTATTTCTTAGGCAAAGGATTGACTATGCAAGGGGTTCGAAGTGATCTACGAATCCGCAGCGATATTGGACCACGAAAACAAGAGGGTCTAAAGCAAATTAGGTAATGTGTGTTCTTTATAAACGGTAGTGAATTACTTTGGTAATAGTGTCTAATCGGGAATGTTCTAACCAAAAATATTAGGAACTAAGGATGATTAAATCTATATAGTTGAACTCGCTAAATAAATAAATAGCCATACATCTTATTTTTTAAACTTTAAAAGTGACTTTGGTGATTATAGAAGAAAGCTCAGGTTTCAATTGACCTTTACTTAAACATCACTCCTCCCATGATTTGATGAAAACCGATTCAAAGTACAGATGAAATTTGTTTTTGTTAATCAAGTCTTATTTGATTAGCTATTACATCGATGTTAGAATATTTAATTTTACGCTGTGTGTGATTCAAATCGACTCAATCCTTCAATTTTGACTGGTTTCAATTATGTACAATGCTAAAAGTTTTGATCAATTTGAATTTTTTTTCAGTGCGTTTTTAACAAATGAGATTTTGTACGTTCTCTTCATAATTCCTCATATTACTAATAGTTGAAGCTAACAACATGTTAAAATGTTATTTCGTATTAATGGTCAAAATATACAGAAAGATATATGAAACGGATTAATACTTTCTGATATGAAACTGATCGTTACTAAGTAGTTTATCAGCTATCTGGACTGATAACATTTCACCATTGGCGTAGCGCTTCGGACGCATGAAATTAAAGTTTTGTTTTCATTTTTCGTCAATTGGGCGATACCGCTGCTGGTGGACAATCAATTCCCGAGAGTATCATCAGCTCAGTAGTCAGTTCCTCGACACTGACATGATTTATAAAAGACCTTTCTAATATTGGCAGTTTATAATTTTATAAATTATAAAGAAATAAATTATAAAGAAACCAAGGTTTCAACTCGCTCAGGAATAGTTGACCTAATAAATTGGCTAAACTATTATGTCCTTTTGGTCATTTAGCTCTTCTAGTGTTTCGGTTCTTATATATGCTTGGTTTTCAAATATTCGGCTTTGAGCGTTCCTGATGAAGACAAATCCAGAAAAGAACTTCGGACGCATGGAATTTATAAAGTTTTGTTTTCATTTTTTTGCATTCACAGTAGTGCAGTAACGTTTATACCGTTCAAATGTATGGCGGGTTTGTTTTTTTTTTTTGTGTTCTATTTTCTATTCCATTGTTATCATTTCAGTGACCCAAGATGTGTTTCACTAAGACCGAAAACTTTGTAAGCTGTTTATGTTTTACCCAGTTACCCATTGACGATTATCAACACACATTTAAGATAAGAGCAGCTCTCAAGAATCACACTGAGCTTCAAAGCTGGATTTACAAGACACCTAGCATCGATGTGAAATATTGCGTGTTACACTGATTGGCATTGCTGCGTGTGCACTTACAGACTAAGCGTAAAGACGTCATACACAGTCTTAGAAACGCATGACCTTGTGCAATTCCGAAATAAAAGCAAACAACATCGACTGGATGTAGGATCATAAGTTCTCATAACTGTACATTTATAGCAATATCTATTTCAGTAATGTTTATTTTTTTTTCAAAATCAGAATCAATATTAGTATCGATAGAAGCAATATCTAAATATTTTACCACTGTGTTAAATTGATTACCTTTAAAGTCATATGATACATCAAATTCAATTAAAAAAAAGTTAAAATGTTTTATTTTCTTTAATGACTAAGGTTCACTTTGATACAACGGGTACTAAAGACTTTTTTATTAAAGACAATCTTATATTTTATGAAACTCTTCATAAATGTACTGCATTTGAATTATTGTCTTCCCGTACTCAAATTCGCCGAAATTTTTTACGTATGCAGTGAACTTAACCATGCCATCTTTCGTTAAAATTACGATAATCGCACAGCGCAAGTGCGTAATGAAAGAAAAGTTTAACAAACGTGGAAAGAAAATAGTATTAACCGATTCAGAAATAAAGAAACTTAATACACCAAATAATTTAAGATCTGTCATAACAAAGTTAAATTAACAAATGGGAACGGTTTAAAAACAAAACTACAAATATGTATCGATCTATAGTCTCACTTTATACTTTCCACGTGTTCCATGATTCTGTAATAATTGTTTATCAATAGAAAACGATCGGTAAACTTCAACACCAAAATCCGTGTTTTAACAAAGTTAAATTACAAGTAAAATTTTCGATCAACAATCACAAGACGACATATTTTTTGTCCATTATACTGTAGTAAATGTTGAAAACGTGCGCAGAGGACAGTTTAATACATATACATGCATTGGTTTAATAATTGCCTCAATTTAATAATTACCAAAACCTCGGCAAAAAGCTTCATATTGTGACTTGCAGTTGATATTTAACAATACAAATACATGTATGGTGGAAATCTGATAATCGATTTATCGGATTGTATTTGTGTATTTTGCATGATAGAAACAAGAGTTTTTCTCTGATTCACCAGCAAACCGGAAGATGACTTGATAAGTTCGGGTCAAACTTATCAACGTAGGTTCATTCGTTATGACGTCGGCGATATGTCCGGGTCAACATTATTAGGGCAATGTTAACGTATTTGACGCCACAAAGCCGTGATATGCAAGTTTATAAAGCGCTGAGCAGAGTAATACAGACAGTTGGAACACTGATTAAATTTCTTACCAAATATCATTGACTTATCAAAAGTGGTTCCTCTTTAATTGACCTAATCACTAACGTTAACTTGTAAACTATACAAAAATCCAAATCCAATGAACCATGACTAAAGGAGTGGGGACATATAATCTCCATGATATTGAAACGAAACGAGGAGATATGAAGATTTGTTTTCGATCTATGAGTTTGACTGTCCCTCAGGTATCTTTCGTCCCTCTTTTGTTCAACCTTGAAAAGTCATATATATTTGCCCTGGTAATGCCCTCCGGAAGTCTGATTTTCTTTGGAGAACAAATCATCATATCTCCCGCAAGTAAGAGAAATAAATGTATTTAATAAAAAAGATGCAGTCTGGTATCAATGTATAGTTGTGTTCGTAATGTTTTGCAGAAAGGGGGGGGGGGGATCAATTCGTTTATTTCAGTTGGTTAATTACTTAAAATTGTTTTTATCAAATAAATTTGCTATAGAAGAATATGTTAGGGATTGTTGCTTGCTTAACGTCAAGTGGCAATTATTTACTGTATATTCAGGACGAGAAACTATATAAAAAATTTATACAAAAGGTGGTTTCTGCAAGGTAGAATGACAAGGGTGAACGGCGGGAAAAATGGACTGTCACTGGAAAACACTGCCATGTTAGATTGGGGTAAAACTTGTGCCTTGTAACAGGCCATCCAAGGATTTGTGTAATAACAAGTTTCTTTACAAATCCTTGGGCCATCTAAACACTCCTCAACTAGTTGTTTTTCTTTTATGAAAGAGTGTGACAACCTTTCCGAACGAGGCATTGGATTTAACGTCCTCATTCCTACCGGACGTAACTCCGTGTTTATACATCCCGTACTGCAAAAAGGACGACCTACTATGACAACAGTTTGACTTCCTTTTAGAAGAAAACAAAATTAAACGTATTTCTATATTCCCAAGTCAACCCAAATACATAATATGTATGTCATAGCAGGTCAGAACATGTATACAAAGTTATATTGAGACATAAACTTAAACATACCTTTTTATTGTTGAACAAATTGCCTGTCCTTGATCTGAGAAACCTTTGGAACAAATGAAAGCAAGCACAAAAATCTGCAATTTAAGCGTTCTGTTAATAAGGGGACGAAGTCCCCTATTACAATAGAAAAATCAATAAAAAAAAAAAAAAAAAAAAAAAAACGGGAAAAATTTCCCGAAATTTTCATTGTACTAATGAACTAAAAATCGTTAACTTTTTTTTGTAACTTTTTTTAATTCCCGCATTTGCGCAGAAATCTACTTCCTTCTTCCGGTCTCGTTTGTCATGAGACTTTGAGTGAAATATATATTTATCAGTCCAGTAAAATATAGGAAGGAACACAATAACAATTTCATTTCTAATTAATCTTTGATATGAAAAAAACGTTACATGATGATAGCGTTTCTTTGTTTACATTGAATATGACTTCATAATTAAAATAACGTCACAACTAAAATCCCTAACAACAGAACCAAAATCGGAAACGTTACGGTATTTCCGTTTCTTTTTTAACAGATTTAGAACTTAAAATATGTTTGAATTAAAAAAAAATAATTTATATAGACTTCGTCCCCTTTCACAGGTAATGCCAGCCTCATATTACCAGTTTGACAGTAAATGTGTACTAACTAATTGAATCAGTAAATAAACAAATACAAGGACATATATTTTTTTTTATAATCCAAAACAAAATTGTTTTTCCTGTAAGGATATCTGTAAATCTGGGAATTCGAAATACAATGTACGGCTGCATGTTACAATTTAATGTACTATTCTTTGCTGTAGAATAATAGTGATGTACGGAAAGTAGTCATCATTAGAGATTGATTTATTCAATGGAAAGTTGAATATAACAGATAGTTTCAAATATGTTTAATTGTTTGAAATACAAAATGTATTTCTCAAAAGAATCATGCACTTGTCGAAGCGCTCGTGGTAGACAGTTAGTCTCTATCCGCATTAAGTTCAAGGGTTAATTTCAAAATCTTCTAACTATTTTTAAATTGTATTATTGTTTCATTGTCTAGTTGTGTAATGGTTGAATTGTATTAGGTAAGAGTTAACGTTAATTTTAAATAGTATGGATGAACGTAATTGTTTTCGAAAAAAATCATTTATTAAATTAACATTTTAAAGTACAATGTACAATAGTAAAACAATTTAAATATCTGACTATTGTTACATTATTTATTAAAGATAAAGTCGATCTTTCTGAAAGGACGAACATATGATGTGTAGTTACCAGGACGGAATTTAAGGATAAAATTGAATGATTGATACTACCATTGCAAATATTGCATTACAAATTTTAACACAATATCAAGTTAACTTTGTTTACTTTGAATTATCCTTTTATAATTCTTATATGATTTGCATATCTACAAATACTTGAATTGGATTGGTCCGATAGCATTTTTCCCTTGGTTTACACTTCGATAAACCATGTTGCCGAAACTATATCCGTAACCTTCATTGTGATTTATTCATGCACGAAACAGATGCATGTATCAAGGGGTTCAAGCAATGAGATTGAAAAAAAAAAATACATATCTGTTATTTTTATTCTAATGAATAATAAAAAGACAATAATTAATTCATTAAAGCTTGGAAAATGTATAAATTTACAATAAAATAAAATTCCGCGAAAAATCATGAATGAGCTTTGCGCTTTATCTTCAGTGGAAAACTTGACGTCATACGAATGAAAACTTTCAAGACTAGGTGAAGATTATTTATTCCGTTTCTTGTACGCTTCAAACTTAAATAATATCTCATTAAAATGAAGTTTTTGAGGTAGGTATTATTTTATTTTAGATTCTATTGCATTAATCGAATATTAGTGGATTTCAGAAAGTCAATATGGCGGCTTACTCCTTAGTTACGAAATGTCAATTGTGCATTTGATGGTAAATAGCAGCCAATGTACCGAAAAATGTTAATTAAAAATTGCAAATGATTCGGTTAAGAATTATAAGGATTAAACACATTTTTTCTAGAGGTTATCGATGTGTAAACTGGATCGCTGACTCACAAATTTTACATAAAAGTCCTTCGGACTTTTATTTAGTTTGTGAGTTAATCGCCCCAGTTTACACATCTATAACCTCTAGAAAAAATTTGTTCAATCCTATACTAATCTGTGTTACCAACCATAAAATATTAAACTGAATTGTTAATGTATCGCTGTCTTGGATTTGCGGAGTATAAATTAGACTTCTTTCTGAATATATACAATATTTAATGGTTTCAAAAAGAGTGAAAATTGATTGTCGCTTGATAATAACTCGAGTTATTTAATTTTAATAAGGTAATAATAAACAAGCGTTTCCATTCCAATGGTACTTTTAACATCAGATGTAAGTTTCATAGAGGTTGATGCTCACAAGGAAGCTATTAAACCAAGAGTTCAAAGTGGTGAAGTTGAAATCATCCCTTCGTAAATTTTACGGACGCGATCACGCGTTGGTTGACCGTTATGTAAGTTCCGTTTCACAGATGATAGCGGATATGTTCATAATGTAGTAACTTCAATCCTGTCAAATTTTCCCGAATGCGATCTTCCGAATTAAACTTAGTACCGGGTTTGAACTAAGTGAGTAACACGACGGGTGCCACATGTGGAGCAGGATTTTCCTACCCTTCCAGAGCACATGAGATAACCCCCAGTTTATGGTGGGGTTCGTTTAACTCAGTCTTTAGTTTTCTATGTTGTGTTTGTGTACTATTGTTTGTCTGTTGATCTTTTTCTTTTTTAGCCATGGCGTTAGCAGTTTATTTTCGACTTATGAGTTTGAATGTCCCTCTGGTATCTTTCGTTTCTTATTCACACACTTATATTTTATTTCCGTATTAAACGCAACATCAATGACTGTACATACTATCCCTAACAATGGTCAAGCAATGCATAGAAAACACAAAAATACGAAATGATTTAATTGATTAAACTCGTAATTTGGTGCTCCCATATTTTAAATTTTGGGTTTGTCATGCTTTTGTT